CTTTCTCCCTTTTAATCTGGCCTAATTGGTCTTCCGTTTGTTCTTTTTCTCGATCCATTTCTTCTTTCTCTTTCTGTAGCTTAACCCTCAATTCTTCCATATCCTCTTTCTCCCTCTTAATCTGCTCCATTCGCTTTTCCATTACTTCCTTTTCTCCGTCCAACTCAACTTTGATATCTGCAATTTTTCTGGCTTCTCTTAAATTATCTTCACCAGTTTGTTCAATTTTCTCTTTCTCTTTTTGAAGGTTTGCTTTCATTTCTTCAATCAAGTCTTTCTCTTGCTGCCTCCCTTGTATCCAGTTGTCAATGTTCAATTTTTCCTTCTGTAGCTCAGCCTTTGTTTCCTCAATATCCTCTTTCTCCCTTTTAATTTGGCCTAATTGGTCTTCCGTTTGTTCTTTTTCTCGATCCATTTCTTCTTTCTCTTTCTGTAGCTTAACCCTCAATTCTTCCATATCCTCTTTCTCCCTCTTAATCTGCTCCATTCGCTTTTTCATTACTTCCTTTTCTCCGTCCAACTCAACTTTGATATCTGCAGTTTTTCTGGCTTCTCTTAAATTATCTTCACCAGTTTGATCAATTTTCTCTTTCTCTTTTTGAAGGTCTGTTTTCATTTGTTCCACCAGTTCTTTTTCATGCTTTCTGTCTTGTATCCTCTTGTCCATGTCAAATTTTTGCTTCTGTAGCTCAACCTTTATTTCCTCAATATCCTCTTTCTCCCTCTTAATCTGGCCTAATTGGTCTTCTATTTGGTCTTTTTCTCGATCCATTTCTTCTTTCTCTTTCTGTAGCTTAACCCTCAATTCTTCCATATCCTCTCTCTCCCTCTTAATCTGCTCCATTCGCTTTTCCATTACTTCCTTTTCTTCGTCCAACTCAACTTTGATATCTGCAACTTTTCTGGCTTCTCTTAAATTATCTTCACCAGTTTGATCAATTTTCTCTTTCTCTTTTTGAAGGTTTGCTTTCATTTCTTCAATCAAGTCTTTCTCTTGCTGCCTCTCTTCTATCCAGTTGTCCATGTCTAACTTTTGCTTCTGTAGCTCAGCCTTTATTTGCTCAATATCCTCTTCCTCCCTCTTAATCTGGTCCAATCGGTCTTTCATTTTTTCTTTCTGTCGCCCCATTTTTTCTTTCTCTTTCCTTAGCTTAAGCTTCAGTTGTTCCATATCTTCTTTCTCCCTCTTTATCTGGTCTAGTTGCTTTTCCATTACTTCCCTTTTCTCATCCATCTCAGCCTTGACAATTGAAATTTTTTTGGTTTCCCTGATATTATCTTCCACTGTTTGATCATTTTTCTCTTTCTCTTTTTCAAGGTTTGCTTTTAGTTCATCAGTCAAGTTTTTCTCTTGTTGCCACTCTTGTATCCATTTCTCCAATTCCTCATTCTTCTTCTGCAGCTCTGCCTTACTTTGTTCAATATCCTGTTTTTCCCTCTTAATCTGCTCTAGTTGGTCTTTTACTCCTTCTTTCTGACCCTCCGTCTCAGCTTTAAGGGCTTCCATTTTCCTAATCTCCCTCATAGTGTCATCTCTGGCTTGATCAATTTTCTGTTTCTCATTTTGAATATCAGCTTTAGTTTGTTCAATACGGATCCCTTCCCGCTGTCTTTCCTGTATACATTTGTCCATATCCTTTTTCTCTTTTTGCAGCTCAGCTTTCAGCTGACGAATAACATCCTTCTCTTGCTTTATCAGTTCCCATTGCATGGCTATTCCTTGTTTTTGTCCATCCCTTCCAGCTTTAATTGCTGCCATTTTGCTCATTTTACTCATAACATCATTTCTCATTTGTTCAATATGCTCCTCCTTGTTTTCAAGGTCAGTTTTCATCTGTTTCATCCTAATCATCTCCTGTTTCCTTTCCTCCATCCAGCTCTCCATTTCCTTTTGCTGTTTCTGTAGCACAGCCTTCAGTTTTCTTATATCATCCTTCTCCCTGTTAATTTTTTCCAACTCCTTTTCTATGTCCTCTTTCTCATTCTTCATATCTCTTCTACTAGCTATCATTGTCATCATCTCTGTCATGGTGTCTTCTCTGGATTGATTTTGTTCCACTTCTTCTTTTTGCACATCTGCTTTCATCTGCTCCACCATTTTCCATTTTCGTCTTTCTGTCCATTCGTCCACATCATCTTTCCTTTTGTGCAATTGATCTTCCATCTTTTCGAAGTCACCTGTGGATCCCCTGATTTCCTCCATGTCCTTTTCTGTTTTTTCTTTCATATCTATGTTGCCCTCATTCCTTTCCTCTCTTCGCTTCTTTTTTTGTATCACCCATGTTCCAAGATGTCTTTCCCTCTTCCCCTTCATCTTCCTTGGCCTCTCTTTCTCTCCCTGTGTCTCAGTATCCTTGTATCCACCAGCTTCTGTCCTCCTGCCTATTTCCTCTTTTTTAGCCATTGTCGTGATGTCCTTGTGATTTTGAAATGTGAAATGATTCAAGTGTTTTCACACATGTATAGTTTTGTTTTTCTAACATTTTTAACACACACATCTATGCAGTTTATGAGATATTATATTTTTTTCAATATTGTCACCACGCTGCCTCTGGGACCTGTGTTCCACTGGTGATTTAGCCCATTGGCTGGCTGTCATGTGTCATGCCATAGAGACTCTGTGGCTAGATTCTTGGACTATTCCACCATGGTTTATACTCTGGCTGCCTATCATTGGAATCCCCTCCCCACACCTACCTGGCAAACTTTTTGAAGGGTAGTGGCCCCTGTGGCCCTTAGCTTTATGCTTCTGATGGAATTTGGCCCTCGGGGAAAAATAATTCAGGCAGTAACCCCTTTCCACTTCTGTAACATCACCAGTGAGAGTGGAGCCACCTGGAGTAATTACTGTTTTCCATGGGGGTGGAATTAAGGGGCGCGGCCAAGTCTGGGTAGCCTGACTGTTGGCTTACAACATGGATGCTGAAGCACTGACATGTGGCCACTATCCAGGGTGCTAAAGGTGATGTCAATTGACTGAACTGGCATTTGAACACAGGTCTTTAAAGCACCATTGAGACAACATAGATATACATTGTTATCTGACCAATGTCTTCCCAGATACATACCTCCCATCTCCATATTCTTTTCTCCTCCTCTTTGGTTTTTTCCATTTCATCTAGAGTTTTCTGCAGTTCCATCTTCATCTGGTCTATCTTGTCCTTTTCCTTATTTACTTCAGCGATTTTCTTTTCCAGCTCTTCTTTTTGTCTTTTTATGTCCATCTTCATTGTTTCCACCTCTTGTCTGTCTCTCAGTGTGTTTTTGATCCTCTCTTCCATAGCACTGCTTTGGTTTTCTATTTCGGTTCTCATCTGCATTACACTCTGCATGTCACTTGTCATCTTCTCCATTTTTTTTTCATTTTCCTCTTTCATTTTCTTCAGATCATTTTTCATCTGTTCCAGTGCATCTTTCTCCCTCTCTATGACAGCCTTCATTTTTTCAGTTTCTTCCCTTTCTCCGTGGATAGCTGCCTTTTTTCGCTCTAGCGTGTCATTTTCTGTCTTTGCTGCCACCAGCATTCTTTCGACCTCTACCCTCTGTCTTTGCAGTCCCGCCTTCAGTAGCTCGATTTCCGCCTTCTTCGTCAATGACAACAATAACCACCCTTCCAGCTCACTCCTCCTCCTTTGGATTTCATTCCTCATCTCCTCCAACTTATACATTTCGCTTTTTGTCATTTCGTACTTGTGTTCCACTTCATCTTTCTGACTTTGGATCTCAGCTTTCATCTGCTCTATGGCCTCTCGCTCTCTCTTTGTCTTCTCTAGCCTTTTTTCGATTTCTTCTTTCTGTCTCTCAAGTTCTGTCCTCATCATCTTTGCGTTGCTCTTTGCTTTTTCTATATTATTTTCGATTTCTTCTTTCTGCCTCTCTAGTTCAGCCTTTGCTTTTTCAATCTCGTCCAGTTCTCTTTCGTTTCTTTCTTTCTTATTCAGAAGTTCTTCTGTCTGACTCTTTATCTCTGCCTTGACTTGCTCCATTTCCAACATTTCCCTCTGTATTTTTTCTATCCTGTTCTCCAGCTCTTCTTCCTCTTTCCGTAACCTAGCTCTCAGTTCACAGTCCGCCTGTTCGGTCTCTTCCCAGAGCTTCGCGATCTCTATTTTTATTCTTTGCAGCTCATATTTCACCTTTTCAAATGGTTCTTTGTCCTTCACATCTCTTATACTCTCCAAGTCATCTTTTTCTCTCACTATCTCATCCTTCATTTGTTCCAGTCTGTAGTTTGCTCTTCTTGTTTCTTCAATCTTGTTTTCTATCTCTTCTATTTGTCCTTTTATCTCAGATTTTATCTGTTCCATTGTGTCCTTCTCTTTCTTCATTACAGTTGTACTCTTCTCTATCTCTTCTTTGGACTTTAATACCTCTGTTCTCATCTGTTCCAGCTTTTCTATCTCAGCCCATGTTTCTTTCCGTCTCCTCCACATGTCATCTTTCTCTCTCTGTATCTCAGCTTTCATGTGCTCCAGCTCTTGCTTTTCTAGCTTTATTGCTTTTTTATTTTGTCCCATAACTTCTAGTGCTTGTTCTATTTCATATTTGACCTGCTCTAGTTCTCCTTTCTCTCTTCCTGTGTCATGGGCATCCCTATATGCATGCATCATGCTTTTTATCTGTGTGATCTTGAGCTCTTCCAGATTTGACTCTTCCCATGTTATTTTCATGCTAGTTGTACCTGTTTTTATCACAGCTTCTAATTCATCATTTTCCTTCTCATCATTTTGTTTATCTGCTTCCTCCTTCGCCCTTTGAATCTCCACCATGATCCAGTCCAATTCTTGTCTGCCCCTTTGTATCTCATTTCTCAGCTGCAGTTCCTCTTTGACAATTTCATATCTTCTTCTCTCCAAATCTTCTGTTTTTCGCTGGAAATCATCAATTTGCTCTTGTAAGACTTCTTTTGCTCTTTGCATCTCTACTTTTGATTGCTCTACCTCAGCGTTCTTCTGCATTAACTCCCCATTTCTTTTTTCCATCTCTTCCACTTGTTTCTTTAATTCCACTCTTGTCTGCTCCATCTCATGTTTTTCCTGTTCTGTCATTAATTTGTTCTGCTCCATGATTTCGGTTGCCTTCTTTATTTCATAACCAATCCAATCCAGTTCTGCTTCCTTTCGTTTAGTCTCTTCTTTGCCTTTCTCCAGAACTTCTCTTTCTGCATGTAGTTCAGATTTTATTTGTTCAATCTGCCTCTTTTCTTGCTTTGCTTCTTCTCTGTCACATTCTATCTTCTCCTTTTCTCGCTGTATGTCTGCCCTGATTAATTCTATCTCTTCTTTCTCTTGTTGTATTTGAGCTCTCTGTTCTTGATGTTCTTTCTCTGTCTCAATCCACCTTTTCTCCATCTCTTCCTTAAGTCGGTTTATCTCATTCTTGATCTTTTCGAAGTGTTCTTTATCCTTGTTCACCTTACTCTCTTTTCTTTCCAAGTCATCTCTCTGTTGTTCAATCTCTGTCTTTATCCGTTCCAGGCTTTCTTTTGCTACCTGTGTGTCTTCCATTTTGTTTTTTATTTCCGCCATTTGGGCTTGTAGCTCAGTTTTAAGCTGTTCTATCTTGTCCTTCTCTTGTTGCATCAGTTCCCTGCTTTTTTCCAAGTCATCTGTTCTTTGTAACGTCTCCTTTCTAAGCTCTTCCAACTCTTCTCTCTCCTTTTTTGTCTCGTTTCTTTGTCTCTCTAGGACATCTTTCTCAGTTTGCATCTTTGCTTTCATCTCTTCGACATTATTCCTCTCTTGCCTTGTCTCTTCTCTCATCTCGTTCAGCTCTTTCTCCATGTCATTCATTGCTTTTTCCATTTCTTCCTTTTCTTTCTGCATTCCCAATCTGGCCCTCTCCAGCCCTTCCCTTTCTTTCTGTATTTCAGCTCTCCGCTCCATCTCCTCATTCAGAGTCTCATACCTCCTCCTTTCTAGATCCTCTTTTGCTCGTCTTGTTTCATTTTTTTGTTTCTCCAGCATGTCTTTTGCTTTCTGTATATCTGTCCTGCTCTTATCCATCTTATCTTTGGCTTGCTTTGCTTCCTCCATCGTGACTTCAATCTCCTCCATCTTCCTCTGAATTGCACTCTTCATATTGTCCATCTTCTCTCTCTCCCTGTTTATCACCTCCCTACTTTGTTCAATGCCTTCTTTAGCTCTCTCTATCTCACTTTTCATCTGTTCCAACTCCTTCCTTTCTCTGATCATCTCCTGCCTTTCCTTCTGTAAACTGTATTTGTCTGCATGTAGCTCTGCTTTCATTTGTTCTGTCTGTCTCTTCTCTTTCTCTGCCTCTTCTCTATAATTTTCTACCTCTTCTTTTTCTCTCTTTATCTCAGTCACCATTTTCTCCAGCTCCTCTCTTTGCCTTTGTAAATCATCCCTTTGTTCTTGTTCTTCATTCTCGGTCTCACACCACCTTTTCTCCATTTCTTCTTTGACTTTATTGATCTCATACTTGATCTGTTCAAACTGATCTTTCTGTTTTTTTGTTTCAGACCTTGTCCTTTCCAGAGTGTCTCTCTCTGTCTGTATCTCTATTCTCATCTGTTCCATCCTCTCTTTTGCCACCTTTGTCTCTTCTATCTGAATCTGTATTTCCTCGATTTGTCTTTCAATGTTAGTTTTCATCTGTTCCATCCTGAGTTTCTCTTGATTTGTAAATTCACGCGCTTGTTCAATTTCTTCTCTTTCTTTCAAAACTGAAAACCTCATCTGCTGCAGTTGTTCCCTGTCTTTCATGATCTCCTCTCTCCTTGTCTCCAAGAAGCTCTTCTCCATTTGCAGTTCAGCTCTCATCTTTTCTGTTGAGTTCTTCTCACGCCTCATCTCTTCTCGGTTTTGCCTTAGCTCTTTCCTCAGCTTCCGTATATCAGCCTTCATCCGATCCACCATGCCTTCTAGTCGCCTCCTCTCTTTCATCATGTGTTCCAGATCTTCCTTTTGTCTCTGGATCTTAGCCCTCATGTTTTCTATATCATCCTTTTCTCTCTTTGTTCCCTCCCAGAGTTTTTCAATCTCTTCTATTGCTTGAATTGTCTCCCGTTTCCTCTTCTGAAAGGCATCTCTTTTTGATTGTATCTCAGCCCTTAGATGTTCTATTCTGTCCTCATCTTGCTTGGTCTCTGCACCTCTGTGGTCCAGTTTTGTGTGTATTTCTTCCTTCACACTGTCCATTTGCTCTGTCAGCAGTGAACATAATGGTTAGGTCCAAGGAGACTTTATGCATAATAACTGCCATTTTTAATCTTCAGTAATAATTTATTTGTAAATGTCTTATGTGTGACACTCTATACAAGCCCATTCGTATAGAGTTTTTGCGTGAGAAAATTTGTATTTTTAAAATACAGATGCTCCTCTACTTACGAACTTTCAGACATATGACCGAAGAGGACTTTAAGTCCAAATTCTGTTCATTGGGCTCTTGTTTCCTGTACGCAACATCTTTTATTTTTTCTGCGTGCCAATTCTGCCTAGTACAACTTCTGGCCACTACTGCCGCCGCGCAGCAGCGTAGCGTGCGAATTCCTGGCATCCTAGTTCTTTGTACTTGCGTATACCCTTAAAATTATGTTGAATGGTGACTTACGAACATTTCAAGTTACAAACGGCCGCTTGGAACGTATCTCGTTGATAAGTAGAGGAGTGTCTGTATAATAACTTGGAACTACCTGTTTCTGAAAATGTCAACATCACTGTAAAGACACAGAGTTCCTTCAAAATGTATATTCAGTGAAGCAATTGGCTCAACAGGACAAGTCATACAAATGTAAAAACAGACCCAATAAAACCAAGTCTAATACCACAGTAAGGCTTTCATGGTCACAAAATCAAGAAACTGTGACTTCAATAAATCCCTTAACATGATTTATAATATATATTCACTTTTAATAAATCACTTTAATCACTTTTAAGTACAGGATGACATGGCTCACCCAGTTGTTGAATGAGCCCGGGCTCCATTTGTCTCAGTATCTGGTAGAAAGCTGACATCTTCGCTGCGGTTTCTGATTCCAGGCCACGCAGCAGCGTCCTCATCACTTCCTGATGGGTCTGAGCAGACCGCGCCTCCACAGTCCACCGCTCATCGAGTAGGTGCTGGGCAGCGGCGGCTTCGGCGACAGCTCTGCTGTCCCGCACGCCACAAATGATGCGCTCGCGGTTTGCCTCCAGAAAGTCGCGAGCTGCACTCGCATCCAAGAAAGAAATGGAGTTAGGAATGGACCCAGCACTCTGGGGCATACTCTGAGACTGAATTAATAATTAATATAATCTTTCTTTGATAGACATGCTCTACGTTTCTGTGTTTGTATTCTCTATTTTTATTGTCCATCTCATCTGTTTGCCTTGCATTTTATCTAAACTAATCCTAAGCTACATGCCTCCCCTGCAATCGTGGCTCATTTAAGGAGGCCCAAATCCTTTATCCTTTTTAAAAATCACCATAGCTGCAACCTTACAAACATGTCAGTTAAAGGCATTAAGCTCAGTAAAACATGGCCATAGTAACACACACCGCAGCAGCTGTAAAACACATGTAGAAGAGACATACCGAAATTGCTGGACTCGGCCATATTTGGTTCTTAAATGTAAGCTGTTGTCTGGGTAGCTGATGGCCTAGAGGATTAATGAAGAGCAAAGCATTCAACTCAGATAAGTGTGAACAACTAAAACAGATACACATATACAAGCAGTTGCTGTTATGGTTTGGTATACAGTGTAATATCTGATTATTTTATGTATTTCAAATTTAGAAGCTTAACAAAATAAGCACTTTGTCTTATTATGCTTTTGTCACACTACTAAATGTAAATTCGTTTGTTTAATCTAATTCAAATAGTAGCAGTAATATATAGACTAATTTCCAAGTGTAATTTTTTGTTGTCATGTGACACCTTGGTATTCAGAACAGTTAAATATTTTTATTCGGTTGAAAATAAAGAATTTTGCAATAATAAATATAACATACGAATAAAAAACAACATCAATATAAAGCATTATAAATAATTTAAAAATACTACTCTAGTGCCATTCTTAAATACTATGAATCTAGTGCCACCATTATTATTTAATAATGATCCTAAATAATTAGTCACAGTGTCATTCTAAAACATTGCATATTAAATAGGTAAAGAACATTTACAAGATAAAGTAGAATGTTTATTATTTCATGTATTCAAATATTTATTATTTATTTTCACAGCAAATACCCCAAAGAATATATTTGCCTTATAACTTCTTGCGTTATTCAGGTATTGAAATAAAAAATACAGAGTTAAAAATAACGTAGGAAAAACAACATAAAAAGTGAGATAAAGAACCTGAGGTCACAAGCCGCTCTAGGAAAGCATCTGAAATGTTTGTCAACAAGACTATCCTTAACCGCTTTGTGCATTTGTATGTACACACAGTTTGCATAAATAATATATTTTTAAGGAATAAACATAAATATTACCTTTCTATATTTCCATTCTTTTCTGGCTTGCTAGGTGGTCAGATGGATTGGTTTGACAGTCATCTTCTACCTTTTTAGTCATACTGTCTATGCCACCTAATTTAAAGTTAACTAGATGTGAAAATGTCAGGCAAATGCAGTTAGAGAACTTGGTGCTAAAACATCTTCTGACGTGCATTACCTCATGTCTGCTCTCTCCTGATAAGGGTGTGGTTCCGTCATGAACCTTGGACTGATGCCTAGGTTCGCAGAATAACACTTTTTTTCTGAGTATAGTTTTAACATAGCTAGCACAGGTGTATTATTATTAATGTCAGTAAAACACAACAATAATAGTAGTATTATAACAACATTCACAAGTCAGCATCTACAGTATTTGTTGAATGATTCCCAATGTGCAACAAAAAAAAAAACAAAACAGTGTTCTGGAAGCTCTGTCAGAGTGTTTTATTTCTTGTTAATTTATCTTTGGTGTTGAACAAAAACTGCAAAATGTGTGGCAGCAGTCCATCCATCCAATCATCCATCCATCCATCGTCCACACCTGCTTGCCCTATTCAGGGTCAGGGGGTCTTGAGCCTGTCCCAGAAGCTACAAGCACAAGCCAGGGAATAACGCAGGATGGGGCACCTGCCCCTCGCAGTGCACACTCACACACACCATTCATACATATGGACAATTTTGCAACATAGCAAAAGTCATTAAATAAAACACAAATGGGCATACTGAAATGGAATAACAAATCACTCACATACAGGTGTGTATCTAGTATTAAAGTATGATGCTTTGCTTTATTCTGAGTTGTAACTAGACTGAGTTTTACTGCTCTCAACTAAATGAATAATGTTTAAAACCTAATCTTTAATGGAAGGACTCACTGCGGTCTTTGGAAAACACTGAAGTGCATTAAAAATGCTTGTTGATTGTGTATGGTGCCATCTAGTGGCATTCAGAATCAGGAAAACATGCAAATTTCTGTTCGAAACCCTGCAATGCTGCATGCTATCCTTCTATTGCCTCTTTTGTAAAATCTTGAAGTGAGAGTTGTTCTTTAGCAATTATTGTGAATCTTTACTTGGGTACAAGCAATGAGGAATGATCATACATACACTACACTCACCTAAAGGATTATTAGGAACACCTGTTCAATTTCTCATTAATGCAACTATCTAATCAACCAATCACATGGCAGTTGCTTCAATGCATTTAGGGGTGTGGTCCTGGTCAAGACAATCTCCTGAACTCCAAACTGAATGTCAGAATGGGAAAGAAAGGTGATTTAAGCAATTTTGAGCGTGGCATGGTTGTTGGTGCCAGACGGGCCAGTCTGAGTATTTCACAATCTGCTCAGTTACTGGGATTTTCACGCACAACCATTTCTAGGGTTTACAAAGAATAGTGTACAAAGGGAAAAACATCCAGTATGCGGCAGTCCTGTGGGCGAAAATGCCTTGTTGATGCTAGAGGTCAGAGGAGAATGGGCCGACTGATTCAAGCTGATAGAAGAGCAACTTTGACTGAAATAACCACTCGTTACAACCGAGGTATGCAGCAAAGCATTTGTGAAGCCACAACACGCACAACCTTGAGGCGGATGGGCTACAACAGCAGAAGACCCCACTGGGTACCACTCCTCTCCACTACAAATAGGAAAAAGAGGCTACAATTTGCACGAGCTCACCAAAATTGGACAGTTGAAGACTGGAAAAATGTTGCCTGGTCTGATGAGTCTCGATTTCTGTTGAGACATTCAAATGGTAGAGTCAGAATTTGGTGTAAACAGAATGAGAACATGGATCCATCATGCCTTGTTACCACTGTTCAGGCTGCTGGTGGTGGTGTAATGGTGTGGGGGATGTTTTCTTGGCACACTTTAGGCCCCTTAGTGCCAATTGGGCATCGTTTAAATGCCACGGCCTACCTGAGCATTGTTTCTGACCATGTCCATCCCTTTATGACCACCATGTACCCATCCTCTGATGGCTACTTCCAGCAGGATAATGCACCATGTCACAAAGCTCGAATCATTACAAATTGGTTTCTTGAACATGACAATGAGTTCACTGCACTAAAATGGCCCCCACAGTCACCAGATCTCAACCCAATAGAGCATCTTTGGGATGTGGTGGAACGGGAGCTTCGTGCCCTGGATGTGCATCCCACAAATCTCCATCAACTGCAAGATGCTATCCTATCAATATGGGCCAACATTTCTAAAGAATGCTTTCAGCACCTTGTTGAATCAATGCCACATAGAATTAAGGCAGTTCTGAAGGCGAAAGGGGGTCAAACACCGTATTAGTATGGTGTTCCTAATAATCCTTTAGGTGAGTGTATATAGACAAAAGTACCGAGACACAACTCCTAATCATTTAAATCTACTGTTTCATTCAGACTCATTGCCACAGGTATATAAATTCAAGCACCTAGCCTTGCAGTCAGGTTTGCAAACCTCTGTGAATCAAGGTCAGATATGGTTGGGTGAGTTTGGTGTGGAAGAACTTGACTGGCCCACACAGAGCTCTGACCTCAACCCCATCGAAACACCTTTGGGATGAATAAGAACAGAGATTGTGAGCCAGACCTTCATGTCCAACATCAGTGCCTGACCTCAGAAATGCTCTTCTGGATGAACGGGCAAAAATTCCTACACACTCCAAACTCTTGTGGATAGCCTTCCCTGAAGAGCGGCAGCTTCAAAGGAACAGTAAAGTGACTTTCGTATATAGTACAATGTATAGGATTACTGAAGCAGGCACAATGAAAATGCCACCATTACTGAAACTCAACAGGTAGGTAAGAATATCAGTCGTACTCCGAAGACTCTGGACATGTCGCACGCATTCAGTCTCAAAAATTGCTTCTTTTATTCCCATATTTTTTTATAATGTCAGTCTATAAAATGGTTCACTGCCATAGGCCTAATACGTATGTTTTGACCAAAAATGTTTATATAACTGCATGCTTTACCTTACAGGTGCAGAATAGGCAGTAGCTTGTCACATTTATGATATGTGGGGAAGTGGAGGTCATTCGTCTTCGATATTCATAATAAACATTGTTCTGTCACACTATAAGGTAAAGGGACACAAACAGAAACCATGGACCCTCTGGCATTTATGGTGTATGGATTGTTACTGCTGTTTTTTTAACTCCTTATCCAGAACTGCTTTCAGTTTTACCTATTTGCGCAGTTTACTGGAATAATTTAAGCTAATTGCTTTATTCTTAGCTAGAGACGCGAACTAGTCGGTGTCCTTAACTATCGTCCATCCATTTGTCCATCTTTTGACCAGATATCCTAATCAGGATCATGGGAAGCATAGAGCAGAAGGAAAGAGTAACACCTCAAACAGGATGTCGGTCCAAATGTGGTCCTTAACTGTGATATTACTTAGAAATACATAGGGACAGCGTCACACTGCAGTGCTAACTACGCACATAGCTTTGATTGGAATTATGGGAATGCGAGACTTTGCTCCTCAGCACCCTTAGCCCGACTCTTTCACGCTGATGATATACTGAACTCAGCCCAATTCACATTTGAATAACATTTGTTTGTTCCTGTCTTCTCTGCTGCGATTACTGAAGTGAGATGATACATGCTGGCGGGAGCACTTGGAGGAAAGGGGCTCTATCCGAATTGCCAGTGACATCAGCAAATGGAGCTAAGCCAGGTGCCAAGAGCAAACTCTGTCTTACCAAGTTGGTGACACTGACGTGAAACCATAATGTATATTGTTATTTGCTATGACAAATAACAATCGAGAACAAATTAATTAGATGTAAAACATGTTGATCATACTGTCATGTTTTATTTAAACATGTCAAAATACAAAAATTATTTTGGGGTGCAGTGGGGTGGCATGGTGGTGTAGTGGTTAGCACTGTAGTGTCACACCTGGGTTCAAGTCTCCACCATGACTCCATGTGTGTGGAGTTTGCATATTCTCCCTGTGTCATCCCAAAGATAATCCCACGTACATATATATATGTGGCTACTATGTATTCATGCCCCCAGGATCAGCGTTAAATTTAGGTTGAAAGTTATTGTAACACATGACATGATACACACACACACACATATATATTCATGTCATGTGTTACAATAACTTTCAACCTAAATTTAACGCTGATCCTGGGGGCATGAATACATAATAGCCACTGAAACCCCATGTATGATAAAGGTACAATCCTATTGGCGAGTGAAACTGCGTCACGGATTCAGGGCGGGGACGGAATTCACAAAATTACACAGCACAGAGACAAAGGGAGCTGTTCGCCGCCATTTTGTGGACTCACAGTGGTTACTGGCGAGTGGCTGTGGCGACACACGTAACTAATATTCGTATCACCGCGAAGCGTTTCGCGATTTGCTTTTAAGACTGATTTTACATTATATTTAAATTAGTTATAACAAGATGTCCAGGGACCGATTTAGAAACCGCGGCGGATTTCAGCGCAGAGGCGGAGGTGGGATGCGAGGAGGAATGGGAAACCCCAATTTCAGAAATCAGAACCAGCATCCCTTTCCAAACCGAGTTCCACAGCCGGGCATGAACCATGGCCCGCCGCCGACCCAGGGCCCTCCTCCGAAACCGGTAACACCACAGAAGTCCCAACCCCCTCCAGTGGTTCAGCCCGGGTCTCCAGCAGCGCAGCCGCCCCCTGCTCAACCGAACAAGACTCCGCAGCAGGCCGCTGCGGCTCAGCCCAGTCCGAAGCTGCAATCACCGCCGCCGAAACAAGGCCTTACATCACCGCCGACGCAACCCAGTAAACCCCAACCAAGCCCCGACCTCGGCAATGGACAGAAACAACCACCTCTCACTACGAATAAGCTACCAGCGCCTCCTCAAGAAAGGAGTAACGTTAAACAAGAAGAGCCGCCGCAGGTAAGGGCTTCTGCTGCACGTCTGCTTTGTTTCTCTCTACTCCCGGCTTCTTTCGGAGCTCCTGTAACTTAAACAGAAATACTTATTAGTATATGATAACCTAGCACAATTGGCATTTGAAGTGTTTTTTAAGCGTTCAGTCAAATTATGTCGAAAAGCGTCGTTTTTTGCTTCTTTGATGAAGGTTGTGACTAAGCTGCCAGTTAGCTGATTATTGTAGGCAGTAAGGCTACATCTTATGCCGCGGTGTTACGATCGTGGCGACTGGCCGCCCAGCTCTCCAGTACTCGCGGACTCCATTTCGGAGGCGCCCTCGTGAGGCAGCGCGAGGCCCTTCCGCCATTTTGTGTCGTGAGCCCTTCCACGCCGATCCGCGCGACGCCTCTCCGTGCACTTTGTGTGTTCATTGTCGGATCCCCATACAGCTTTGCCGCGGCGCAGCCTTGTTGGCAGTCAGTGACACTAACAACGGGGTCGTTTTATGACTTTCGATAAAGGCTTCTTTTAAACTCCCCATTGTGTGACACTACTGTGTCTATTGATGCTACTACATATACAGAGCTGCCAGCTTGGCCAGTCGGCTGGCGTGCGATTCTAAATTCGACACAAGTCTGCAGACATGCCGACGCATTTACATGTATGTGACATGTATTTACACGTATGGAGCTATATTCCGGTCTATAATGAAATAATATAGATTTCCTATAAGATATCCTACATAGACGTGATAGTCTGAAAGCCTGAGTGTCTCGCCACGTGCGTGAGGGTTGGCGACCCTCTAACCATTGTACTTATAACGGGGTTTGGGGGATGAAACTTGTAATGCCCAAAATGTTCCATTTTCCCTGTGCAGCGTGTATATGTGAAATTCAAGATCTGAATGGGGAAATTATTCCAGACAGTTATATGTATTGCAATAAACAAACAGATGATGTGGTGAGCTTAACTCTGATCTTATTCTTTTGCAGGAATTGAAAGCGACCCTCTCTCTCCTGCGAAAGCCCGGAGAGAAGACCTACACACAGCGATGCCGCCTGTTTGTGGGTAACCTGCCCAACGACATCACCGAAGATGAGTTCATGAAGCTGTTTGCGAAGTATGGAGAGCCAAGTGAGATCTTCATCAACAGGAACAAAGGCTTCGGTTTCATCCGCCTAGTGAGTCCATTTAGGCGATCTCTGCAGCTTCTGAGTTCTACGGCAGCCATTTTAGTTCTTTTGTTAAATCTAATTAACCTGGTAGTGTTTCATTATGTTGGTGGCTGGGTCTGTTCTGAAGCCTTTGGTTCTCGCTCGTTGCAGGAATCCCGTGCTTTGGCTGAGATCGCCAAGGCGGAGTTGGATGACGTGCCCCTGAAAGGCCGCCAGCTCAGGGTCCGCTTCGCCACGCACTCTGCCGCCCTTTCAGTGCGTAACCTCTCCCCCTATGTCTCCAATGAGTTGTTGGAAGAGGCTTTCTCCCAGTTCGGGCAGGTGGAGCGCGCCGTCGTCATTGTGGATGACCGCGGTCGCTCCCTGGGCAAGGGTATCGTGGAGTTTGCCTCGAAGCCAGCTGCCCGCAAGGCAATGGAACGCTGCAACGAAGGGGTCTTCCTGCTCACCACGTAAGGACACGTAACACAGAGGACAGATCTTTTAATACACATCCTTAAATGTTTCCTTCTAAAACATGTTGGGTTTTATTATACAAAACATACTGTTTTGTGGTCTGTGGCCCACAGCTCTCCCCGCCCGGTTGTCGTGGAGCCCCTGGAGCAGTATGATGATGAGGATGGGCTCCCGGAGAAGCTGGCCCAGAAGAACCCTCTGTACCAGAAGTGAGTTAGTTGGTGCATGTAGCTCTTGCGGTTCAGAATTGCTTGGGGTGTTTCATATATTGATAGCAGTGGTTGTTTGCAGCCAAGTGTTCTGGTGGATGTAAATTGAATTGCCCCTTTCCCACCCCTCCAGGGAGCGGGAACAGCCTCCTCGCTTTGCCCACCCGGGCAGCTTCGAGTTTGAGTACTCGCAGCGTTGGAAGTCTTTGGATGAGATGGAGAAGCAACAGAGGCAGCAGGTGGAGAAGAACATCCGTGAGGCGCGGGAGAAGCTGGAGAGCGAGATGGAGGACGCCTACCATGAGCACCAGGCCAACATGCTCCGGCAGGGTGAGCTGCCTGCTCCGCACGCTGCCCTTATGTACCGCCCCCCCCCCCACACCTGAATTACCTCTCTGATATCCCGGACTCCTCTTTCCTCAGACCTGCTGAGGCGTCAGGAAGAGCTGCGGCGCATGGAGGAGCTGCACAGCCAGGAGATGCAGAAGCGCAAGGAGATGCAGCTCAGGTACATGTGTGTGCTGCCGCCAGATCTTTCTGCAAGTTCTACACCACGGTCGTTTCACATGCGCTGTAGATGGTGCTGCGGCAGCAATTGCCATTAACCCACCCAGTCACCCCCCCCCCCCCCCCCCCCCCCCCCCCCCCCCCCCCCCCCCCCATCAGGCAGGAGGAGGAACGCCGTCGCCGGGAGGAGGAGATGCTTCGCCAAAGGGAGATGGAGGAGCAGATGCGGCGCCAGCGGGAGGAGTCCTATCGCATGGGGGGTTACATGGATAATGTGAGTGCCTGGAGCAGTAGGTGGTTGTAAGTTGTGTCTGTTAGCGATTTTGCTAATTACTGCCTACCTGCAATGTCCTTGCAGAGGGAGCGTGACATGCGCATGAGCGGTGGTGGGTCCATGGGCATGTCAGGTGAGTCCTCCTGCCTGTTATGGACATTATTTTCAAACCCCAGCTGTGTGTATGTGTTGCCTGTGCTGCAGACGAATGTGACTTCAGTCATTTGCCTCATTCTTGTTTTCAGACATGCCTTTTGGGTCGCCAACCCAGAAGTTTCCCATGGGCGGTATGGGCTTCGAGGGACACCAGGGCATGGGTGCCCCTGCGGCTGGCGGCATGGGCGGTGGCATGATGCCCAGCGAAATGGTAACGTATGCCTGAGACGGACGGGGAGGCCTTATTATTTTTATTTTTTTTTGTATTTTTTTTATTGTCCTCAATTTTTAGTCTGTCATCCAGGATCATTCTGGTTTCCGGCGTTAATGTCGGGTTCGGGATCACTAGTCTGGCACTTCAATGTGCCCAGTAAGCATTCAGCAGCCTGTCACACCTGTCCCTGGTTCCCTCCCTTATGGTCAACCTGTACTAAGCCAGCAAGTCCAAAAGTTCTCCTCTCCTCACTCTGGTGGGGTTTCTGCAAGTCCTGTCTCAAGTGTTAGCTAGTCAGAGACAGGCCCCCCGTGCTTCCGAAAGCACTTAAATGGTGCGATTGCTGTGGAACAACTTATGGAAGCCTATCTCTTTTATCAAGAGTTTGTCTTGTACATAAGATGTTCTCTTGAAATATATTGAGAGGACCTAAGGTTGTGCACATGGATGGGTTGGGGAGATTTATTTTTTTGGCAGTAATCCAGGCATTTGTGTGTTGGCATATGCACGGTTTTACACGTGCTCTGTCAACTTCTATAGTTTTATGGCTTTTAGTACAAGCTGATGATGACAGCAAGCTGAACTTAATATTGAGAATCAGTGGGAGGGACCAGGGGGGTGTGGCTCCGTCGCGGTATGAAGCTGCTGGTACCAGAAAGGCGAGGCAGTGCTGTGAGCTGCCAGTGATGTCGACTTTGCTTTGTTGGCAGTATGCTGTGTTACTTACCCTTTTTGGATGAGACTGAAGCCTTGCCATATTTACGTACATTTCTTGTTGCGAGACCTCAGCAATTGGACACTTAAAATAGTTATGGGTCCTTGTAGTTTTGATTGGAAACTCAATCATTGCCAGCACCTGAATTGGGCTATATCCTGGTAATAAGTAGGCCCTGTTTTATGCTTGGGCAGATGTGCCAGTTGGTTGAGCGTATCCGAATAGGTGTCAGCCTCTTGAATGGCCTCTTCTATGGTACTTGGTTCAGTGCGTTTCGGCTGGTTCTTATTTCTTTGGGGAGACCTACATTTTCTGCAGTGGAGCAACGTACAGGATTCTCCTACTGACCAATACAAGATTTGTTGGCTTTACTCAGATGTGATGTAAAGAATATTTGAATACAATTTGGCACTAAACACCAGGCAACCTTATTTTGCAACTATCAGAAAGTTGCAGTTTGTGGTTTGTCCAAATCTACCCAAGAAGACTGCAGTAATTCGTGGTTGGTTAACTGCACTGGTGTCGTCCAAATGACACGGTGCTGTCATGTGACTAGAGGAAACTGAGTTATACATATATTTATGGTCTTAGCATTTTGTGTCGTATTACTTGGCAGCAGTACTAGGTTTTTTTGTGCGTATTTGAACGTTGTAAGAACTTCTGTGCTTCTGTGACAACTGTCAGCAGAACTGGACTGGCTTTACTTGCTGGAGTCAGTTTGCGTTTCTGACTTTACCGGCTAAAACAGTAAATACTCAGTGAATACTAGTGCGATCTTTTAATGCGGACCATACTGTGTATGCAGCCAGGGTAGGATTCTTTGTGAAGTTCAGTGCTTCTCAGTGGCATGCATTATATGTTGAAGCAGGTCCTGTGAAATGTATTACCTGTGCCCTAAACAGGGACTTTGCTGGTCCAAAAGGTATGGCTGTGCTGGGCTCCCGAATCATCCCTAAATGGCGTGGTCTGGCGCGTGAGCGGTAGAGGGTCGCACAGGGGTGTGCCATGTGACCTAACCTGTTCGGCCTTTACGGCGACGTCATCTGGTTTTGATAGCTTAATACAGGTGATAAATGAAGACAAACGGAATTTCAAGTTGCAGCCTGTTTTGGCATTACAGTACCATAGAACATATTTAGTTCTCTTTACATTAATGTTGCTCTCAATGTGAAATGCACACATTGAAGACTTTTATTTATATTCTAGAGTTACACAGGACAGTTTTCTGTTTTGAATTAATTTCTGCTTGGTTTTCGGATTGCAAGCCCCTTAACTGTCTGTTTCTTGCATCCACCTTCATCCATGTCGACAAAAATGAGCCAAGTACCAGTTAGGTAGTTATGGCCCACCCCTGCTGCTGCTCCATGTGTGCTATTCACCCTGACCAGCTGCCTGATCCATTCAGCCCAGTGCTCCATTGAAAGGGCCCTCAACTCTCAGTCAGTGCTTTAGCTCCGCCCCAGGCATTCACTACAGGTCAGACTAACTAATGAATCCCTTGCCCTCTCTCTTTCTTGTATGTCGCCTGTTGAAACCCATGGATCTGCGATATTGGGACTTTCGACGAACCATTGCACCGGACTCTCCTCCTTTTAAATCTTTTTGTGTTGGGTTTTAATTTGGCTGCCTTTCCGCACTGGCCTGCGCTCTATGGACCTGGCGTTTTCTCGCCCCCCCCCTTAGCGCAATGAGCGATTCCCCCAAGGTGGCCCTGGAGGCCCGCGGGGAATGGGTCCCGGGAACCCGGGTTTCGGCCGGGTGCGTGAGGAGTTTGATGGGCCGGCCAAGAAGCCCCGTTTCTAAGCCAGTGGCCAGATTCGAAATCAGCGCTTCTTTGTAGCTTCTCTCTAGTCAAGGTTGTATTTAAATGGAAGCATTCTTGCATTTTAGCCAGAAGACTACTTTTTACAGCGATGTTAATGGATTTAATTTCTTTTTATTTTGTATTTGAAGTAGTGTTTAAAGTGGTAACCTGGTAAGCGGAGATGCTTCTTTCCCCGACCAAAACATTATTTCCTGTCCGGTCATCATGTTCTGTGACTCATGTCTTGGTGAAAATTGTAAATTAGCTTCAACTTTCTATGGCTGTTTTTGGTTTTGTTTTTTGTGCCATTTAACGTTTGAAAAACCTGTAACTTTACAATAAAGACTGTAATTGGTTCTTTGTTTCCAAACCTTCTACGAGTTGGTTCTTGCAGCCTGGCCGATGTTTGGCCTGACAAAGGCCTTAAGACTTGCAGGTTACCTACCAGTCCTCTGTGAGGAGCAGAGTACTACGCTGCAAATCATCATTTAATTTTTTGTATGATCTGTGATTCATGATTGCACCTTTTGCAGGTGTATGCAAATAGGATGGACTTCTCCTTCTCAAATTTTAGTAGCAGCAAGTATTGCTGCCGTGAAGTGTGTGACAACCAAAATGGATATCTAAGTGTAAAAATCAGTTGCCGTTAATGCATTTGTTGCAGTGAAAGTAATCAAGAGCCCTAAATGTACAACGTGCATTCAAGAAAGCCAGTTTGCACTGAAACTTTGATGGGCAGCAAATCTTTGGCTTGAAATTACTGCTTGAATTTACTTGAAAGTGGGGCAATTTAAGACCCTTGATAGGCTTATGGTTAATGTGGTTTTGGGGTTTTCAGCTCGAATTTTCCATGGGGACATGGAAACACTGTAATGTTTTCCATTTTGCTATGTGACGACTTTGACCCCAGATGCCAGGTACATCACAGGCAGTGTACATGAGTAGCCTTTGAAGCTGCTGTGATTTCAGTGTGTGATGTCATTTTTACTACGATGGGCCGAGTAAATACTTAACTTCAGAAGTTGGGGTTTCAGTTGGCCTTTTGGCTACAAAAGATGGAATGCAGCTGAATCTGTTGCTGAATTTTAAGCCTGAATTCCAGCGTCTGTGCAGCGGATGTGTAATCTGTGACTGAAAGCTGCATTTTCTTTATTTGCATTTCAAGGGGCTGTCATACTCGCAAATATGCTATTGCAAAATTGCCTACTACCCTGTACAGATTAATTGTAGTGAAGCCTGAGCAAATGTATGGAGTCAAACGCAGATTCTCATTTTAAGTGGCCTTTTGAAACATCAGGATTCTCTTAAATTTTGCGTTGTGCAGCTTATGTCCATTGTTTTCTACACAAACACCAATAATGAAAATTTTAAATTTACATTTTGATTAAATATGGAGGAGCACTGGTAGACCCAACACTGGTGACTATTGATCTGTCCATGGGCTAAATATCTAACATTAATATGGCCATTTTATGTGCAATAACACTCTGGGTTCTTTGTGTTTCAACAACTCATGTGCATGTGGATGGAATCGCCCCCCCCCCCTGTTTTGGTTGACATTGGGCTCTGGTCATGGAGGAGTCAACGCTAGTCGTTGGCAGTATGCTGGGGTTGAGCACACCCAGAACACGGTGCCGTGATTATCTTAAGAAATCCCAGTTGTATATCAACATTGTGTGTCTTGTCAGTGTGTTGGTTTTGCTGTACGTTTTTTTCCCTGACAGGTTTACTCACGGCAGTCTAAATCCACAAGCTGGCAGGACAACCCAATAGTGCCTACCCCCCCCCCCCCTTCAAGCGAGAACTTGATTGTCTGACTGCATTAAATGATGCATGCTATTTATAATCTGGAAGAGCAAGAAAATTATGACTCTAATAGTAATGATATTAATAGTAAAAATAGTGAAATGAGACTTGTGACAGACACATCTGAAGTTCAAAACTCCTTTCCAAGTGATTATTATTGTTGCCTTTCTAAGTCAAATTAACCTTGTTGGGTGAAGAATCACATGGCCCCCATTTTTAACAGTTGAGTATTTGAAAGGTCACACTGAATCCTTTTTGGTATCCATTTCTTTATGGCTTTTTTTATTCCCAGGATTAAACGTGGAGAAAAAAAACTTGAATTACAAGAATCAGCCGTATGGGGCTTTAAAAAAAATTAATTAATACAATAAAAACTTGCTAATGGTCCAAGCTTGTACCCAGCCAGCCACTTTAGTCTCTCTTTAGAGTTGTAGAGCTTGACTTTACTCTACACCTGTTAGCCAAATCTCGTCACTTTGTGGTGCCTAGTATTTAAGTGGGTGTGTTCATGGATTTGGTTTTCTGAGCATTTTTCCTAAGTACTTGTGAGCAACTGTACCGCTAAAGTGAGTGACATAGTGGAAAAGTTGCCTGATTTTCCTCTTTTAAAAAAATACTCTAGGTATTTATTTTTTTGAGTGTGGTGATAAGCCTGACATTTTTTAAAAGTTCAGCTGTCTTGCTGGGCAGTCTTAGATTCCTTTTTTCCCCTGATTCTTTTAAAAGGTTTTCCAATCATTTGTATAAGAAACTTACTCTACTAATATCTTATATGTTTTGAAAGGCTATGGCTGCCAGTAACCAAAAAATTACACTTTGGAAATTTCGTGTGAGCTAGTGGAATGATTGTAGGTGTTTTGAAGTTGGAAATGGGTGTCGACCAATTTCTCTGGCATCCACATTGTCCCTGTTCTTCAAGAGGCCCTTGGACGCATTATCGATGCCAGTTGCTTGACAAGTTCTTCACGAATCAAGTGAAGCAGAAAGGGCATGAAAGGGGAGCGTGTGCATTTCGCAAGTGAGCCCCCCGTTTTCCTGCTGACATCACACGACTTTGTCCCTGTGGTCGCCGATCTCTCGGCTCGTTCGCGTCTCGAGCGCATTGGGACGTGATAGCTTCCCGGTCAGGGACTGCGGCCCGCCTGCCTGCCCCCCTCCCTCTGTAGAGGCTCCAGCAGTTTGAGTGCGTTGAGCATCAGTAGTTCTGCAGCAAATCAGTGGACAGTAAAGCCTGGACTTATACCTCAGGAGGTGTGCTTGCAGATCAGCAGTGAAGGTAAGTAGGTTTTTGTTACATTCACCAAAAATGCTTACATCCCCCTCCCCACCATCCCTTCTGATCTCTTGTCAAGTTTCTAGGGAGGTTCTGGCATCACACTTAATTGGATGGAATCACAGTGCAGAACTTACTGCTGTTCTCTCTCCACCCCCTTGCTGACTTGATTTTGCTGAGGCAGTTACATCGGTCCCGGAGCGACATACGCGGCACTTTGCCCGCCTGGCGTGTAACAGAATCTGCGGCGGTTTGTCCAGACGGCTGCGATCCGCTGTGTCACTGGCGCCCCTGTGGGCCTCGGGGT